GAGGACAATTTAAATCCTATTTTTTTCGGAAACAGATTTATATTATACTCAGGATGCTTTCTGCGATGATATTAAAAGACATTGGTAGTGGTAAACTTCCATATAATGTAGAGGCTCAATAAATTCAACGGAACTCTGTTAGTTACAACTAGGTCACAACAGAATTTGTTACTAGTTTCACATTTGGAACTCTTCAATTTTTTTTTGAACTATTTTTCCAATGAAGCGAAATAATAATGAGCTAGATTGTAAGAAAAACGAGATTTGTCCCGCATGAGAGTTGTTTTAAGCGCAACAGTGGCTAGCGGTGAATGACGCTTCGGCAGTAAGCCGACGGACGACTAGTTACTGTTTTTAGAAGTTGATGATGTGTGTATGGATGCATATTTGCGATAACTATCATCCACACGAAAGCTGTTAAGACAGCACTCATAAATGGGAAGTTGAAAATTTTCAATTGTATTGACATGAACCGATGTTCTGCGAGTGTTAAACATGGGAACATAACTAAATTTGACGGATAACGCCATTTAATGAATGTAGATTCACTTGATGGCAAGAAAGTTTACATGAAATAAAATACTTCTTAATGGTTAAGTCTCCTCAAACCTGTACAATGGCATGCCCCAATTTGTTCGTGTGGACCCATATTTACTATGTTATCTGAAGACTACTTTGAGTTGTAGCAGCTTCAATTAAGTAGAGCATTCCTATTACAGATCTCATAGAATAGACTTTATTGATAGTGATAGTCAGATAATGGGATGTTTTCAACCTTTATTTGTCATCAGGTTAGGTGTGTAGAAGAAAATAATAATTTTCTCTAAAGCTTCATCAATAGTAGTCGAAGTCGACGAAGCTGGATACCTAGTTCTCATCTCTAGATTTCGGCTTATATTTTCTTCATGAGACTTAAGTTTTTTTTACAAAAGCAATTATTTTTCGCTTGATCGAACAGCTGACCCCATGAAAAAAAATGAATATTAGGTCTCCCAGTCTTGCGGAGAGTCACATGCTCGAATATGTTGTCTTGAATGCAGCCTGAATGAACTCGATAAGTATGGATATTAATGGATTGCTTTTGAGGTACGCATTCAGATGTTCAAGCAATTTTATTGTTCGAATATCAGTTTATGAAGCTCTGTTAGACTAGCAATTCATCTAATAAGACTATTTTTTGTGCAGCTCACATCTAATTTTGTAGAAAATGGTGAGTATCAGTTTAAAAGAGAGATTTTGCGACTTCTCAACTAGCTACGATTTGATATTACAGAAGCTACTTTCTATCCATGAGACATGTACTAAATCTTGATTTTACGTGGTAAAGATGACTCATTCACAGTGCCTAGAACCGTCAGTCCTATTCGAATCTTTCAGTGTGAACTTCTCACTTGTGATCTTTCTATTCGATGATAGTGGTGGATTTTACGAAATATGATTACAACGTGCAGGAATGGGTCGGTATTTACTAAAAATTCACATTTTTTGGTCAAATCCAACCAATTCCTGCACGTTTTGATCGTGGCTCGTAAAATTCGCTACTATCATCGGATAGAAAGATCATTGTTAGCTCGAATTGTCGAGCGATAACTTTATTCGAGAAAAAATGTTTATATCTATATACATTATAAAGTAAACAAACGCACACGCATATATAGGTATAGATAACAATGGAAAGACATAGATACAACAGTAAGAGAGAGAGAAGAAAGAGAGAGAAGAATCGAGAAGGTGAATTGAGGCCTGTAGCAATTCTCCCCTCTTATGAGATGTGTGTCCTCACACATTAAGGTGTTGTATTTGTTATTCTAGTTGTTTACATTGAATAATTAGATTTGCAAAATCTTTTCAAGTTGTTCATATTCATTATTGAGTTCTGATGTTGATGAAATAGAAGAAGTCTGTAATAATCGATCTTCTAAAGTTGGTATTAATTGTTCAATTGAATCGATATTTATATTAAAATGTGAATATAAACGTTTTATTTCTAATTTATAAGTATTTAATTCTAATTTTAATTGAAGTTTTTCATTATCTTTTTTTAATAATTGTAAATATTCTTGTTGTAAATTTTCTAATTTTTGTTGATATTGAAAAATAGAATTTTTTGTTGTTGAATATTATCTTGATCTTGTGTATTAATTAATTGTAATTGTTTATAATCTTGACGTGATAATAATTCACGTTGTTTAAAGACGTTCTTTTTCAATAAGATCATCTTCAATTCGACGTAAATAATACATTATTTGTTGTTTTTCTTGAAGCATTCGACGTTGAATTGTCTATAGTTGTGAATATACTTGAACCTTTTCCGAACGAAGCATTTCAATTGTTGAACCTTGTTCAGCGATTTGTACATTAGATTTTTTAATAAATTTCTAAATCTTGCCTATTATGTTGATTTTCTTTAAGATTATTTGTTAATTTTAATACGTTCAGTATCAAGAAGTTGACAATTATGTTCTAAATTATTAATTGACATTTCTGAACGTTGTTTAATAAGTATATGATTTTGTAAATCAACATTTAAATCAGTTACATTTTCTGTTAATTCATTAATAATACTAATTTGAGATTTTGTATCAGTTTCTAAATTAGATATTTTACGTGTTAAATTTATATTTTTGCTTTTTATTAATTAATATTTAATTTGTAATTGTTCAATAAAAAAATTTTCTTCTAATGATATTCGTAATAAATCAATTTCCACTTGGTGATCATTAATATGTGTTTAAGTTTGATAATCTAAACGTTCTTGTAAAAGAACACGTATTTCTTTGCGTAATGAATTAATATAATCTTGAAATAAATTTCGTTCTTTATCCCATTCAAGAAAAAAATATATCATCTGTTATATCAATATCAGATAACCCTAGAGAAAGTACTGAGTTCAGGGTACCCATGTACTGAGAAAGCTCTAGCAGGGTACCCAGTATGTGTACTTTGAAAATCTCAGTAATTTTACTGATGTAGGTACTGTTTGAAGTATCCGTAAAAGTACATTTACTGAATAAGTACCTGCATGGATACTCAAGTCTGTAACTTTACTGAGGAAATCTCGACAGGGTATCCTAAATTTTTCGCGTTCTGTGTGGCGACTATTCATTCACCGTCTTC